AACTGCAAATATTCCATTTTCATTGGCGCAAAGTCCTCCAATCCCTTCAGGAAACTTCAAAAAGTCCATTTAACTATTCACTTCTGGTTTATATCGCGGGTGTATGTGAAAATCACCAAACTTGACAGCAAACGTCAGAGCGATTGGAAAAATTTCCGCATTTCCGAGCTCAAAGTCGCACTAACAACGCGGAAAATGCCTCAAAACTGTGGAGCGGCACCATATTTTGCAGAACAGCGATAAATTTCGGCAGGAATTTCGAAAAATCCCGGTATTTTCTGAAAAATTGACGGAGCGATTTGCGCTAACCTCCCTCACAAAATGACAGCGGGTTGTAACTTAATAACTGCAATTTATAGTTTGGGTTTTCTTGCGTGGGGAAATGTGCAAGTAGTGCGTTTCCAATGGCGCAAAATCCTCCAATCCCTACCGAAAGCTTCAAAAAGCCCAAATAAGTATTCACACCTGACAGCAAACGTCAGATGAACTAGGAAAATTGCGAGTTTTTGCTCGAAAACGCACTGAGAGCTGAGGAAATGCCTCAAAACCCTTAAGAGGAACTTTCCCGTGCGTTAAGTTACTAATTTGCCGCACAAAACTGGAACACTCTGGGAATATTTGGAAATTTGCAGGAGCGCTTTGCGCACATACCTTCTTATCCACCACTAAACATCTGACTTCTTGACAAAATGACATGAATGAACATGTCACTTGATAATCATGAGGAACTGTATATTATAATTATATGCTTAATATTTCTTCAAAATTCTGCACTTTTCCGCTGTTTTTTTTTTCGAACAACCACAGATGAACAGAATTTCGTGGGAAAACACCGTTTAAATCAGTGAATCAATCGGAAAAAACATGGAATTAAATACAAAACCCGCATTTTCTTGTATACACAATTTCAATTTATTTTATAAGCAACAGTTTATTATAATAATACATCATTTCTCTATACGAGGCTTAGCTTAGTTTTTTTTGGAAAGTAACAGATAAAAATATATCTGGGCCCGCGGTTAAAAATATACGAGCGCTTTTCATTTGTCACAAGTACATAAATATGATGGTTTCGATTTTGTTCCCATTCAGCATCTTCAAGGTAGGTACATCAATTATAACCAACAGTAGGCGATTTTAGGAAACTTTCCCCGCACGCTGCAAAGCCAAAGGTTCCTAATTTCCCACTAATGTTAAGTACATTTTCATTTGGTTGCAAGTGTGCTAGATAATATGTAACAAGATATGTCCTAGTCGATTTAATATGCAAACGCCCTCTTAGTGGGCCCTATGGGAAAGAAACCGTATAAAAAGTGCTAAGTGTGTGTTAAAAAGTCAAAACGGAGGTACAGAAGGTGCAAAACTTAATTTCAATTAAATAAATGGTGCTAACTTGCAACGAACCCTGTATCCATTTAGAATAAATTGGAGCTATCAAGGCGCAAGCATTTGATTATTACTGATTTTTTGTTTATTGCAGACTTTGGTCGAGAGCGCTCAAATGCCTTGCCTGGTATCTCTTCATCAGCTACATTATGTTATATCTATGGATAAATGGGCAACAAACTGCTGACTGCGAAACTTCCATAAAAAGCCCTCAGTTGAGCCAGTTTGGATCACTTTGGTCATCGACTTGTGTACTAAATGGGTGACTTGTGATCCAATCATGCCCACTTAACGCGGTCTAAGTACTTTCTAACGCACATTTACAGCTAATATTGCTAATCCTCGTCGCTTTGCTGGTCTCCTGGTCGGATTTGTTAATATTAAACTGAACCAACTCAGTTTAATTGTCCGCAATTAAATTAATTGACTGTCTCTGCTCTTATACCGCTCTGTTAGGCCTGTCTCTATTTCAGAAGTTCGTTTTGTGTTCAGTTTTAAGACGTTTTTCCGTTAAATTTGGGTTTTCAGATTCAAGCCTCAGATCGGTTTTATTGTGCTTGAAAGTCCTGCAGTGTTTTTGGTGGATTGGACCGGATTTTTCGAGAAATCGCAAAAAAATTCAGTTAAATCGGCTAAAGAAAGGTAGGGAGGGGCTCCATCTCCACTTCAAAGGCCCTTAAATTGTGAAAAACTCAATCACGAAAACTAGCGAATGCACTGAACTCATTCAACAAATATAATCGTCAGAAGGATGATTGTTTTAAAAAATCCTCCGCGGTTAATTCGACCTCGTCTTAAAGTTACCAAATCCGAATTAAACAAATTCTACCAGGCGCCCAGAGGAAAGTCGAGGTTTAGCGCAAATCGACGAATGTCGCAGTGGAATTAGCAACAATTTTGGGCAACTCAATGACACCAGAAAACCGTTCTTAATAGTCCGAGAACTAAACACGCTCTAAGGCTTTAGGCTACCAAAAGTACTGCGGCAAAAATTCCCTCAGTCCCTCAGCAACACGATTGTAATCAAGCTCTCTTTTAACCGACACCAACCAAAGAGTCCATCCAGTTAATTAATTAATATTATTAAAATTGTTATTGTTATTATTGATTGGAACTAATTATCAACGTGATTTGTGCAATTCAATGTTGAACAAATTTTATTAGGTGAACAGGAACAGAGTGCAGTGAACACGGTACTGTTATCGCCTTATCGCTAGAATGGCTGATAACGGTACCTCGTTGACTTCCTGCTGTAGTCGGCGGGCATATTCCCCATTCTCTGCAGGCGTCGCTTTTATGGAAATTTCCCAGCTCCACACACCATTCTGTACACTTATTCAACGAAAATTGACCGATTTATCTTGGGAAATTACGCCACATTCGTCCGTTAGTTCTTTAAAAATATTGGTGTTAAGTCGTACTTACCACTATCCTCTAACAGTATGATTATTATGCGCTTATTGCTACCTAGTAAACAATTGGGTACCATAATTCCCTTTACGTGGATCAACGGTGTGCAACTGGGATGTTTATTGAACAATGTGTATGTGAAAATGGAACCATGGATTTTTCTCATTTTTCTGCTTTTGCCTAAACATGGCAATGTTGCTCAAACATCCTCGAAATTGCGCACGTATTCCTTATGGCAGTGTTGCGAGTTTTTCCTCCACTAGGGTTAATACTGCAAAAGTTTCCAGTCATGTCTAAACCAGTCTTCTAGCAAAGAAGCATTCTTTAAGGGCGACATAATATATGCCATAGCAATTTACCAGAACCTCGTCCATCGCTCTCATCATGAGCTTTGGGAATAATTGCAGATTCTTAAAATCAATCGTTGAAATGGAGTCGATTATTTGCGGACTTCCATTGCCTTGCAAACTTCTCCAAAGTGCAAGCCAATGGAGGCCCAAACGATCGTTTTTTAAGCATCCACACCAATTCCCGTTTTCGTCATTTTAACAAATATACAACAATTGTGTGTTAAATAACAGTGCCTAACCTTATATGGAAACAGTAATATTACTTATAGCTAACATTTAGAAGGGATAAAGTGTGCCATTTAAACATGTACATTGACTGCGCAACAGTCGTAGTGCTAAATAAATGGTTTTATAAAAGATTCAGGTTCAAAGTATCTGTACAAAACGTCGGGAAATTCGGTGAAATAGTGAGGGATTGGAGTTTCACTTCGACATGTTTAATGTGACCGCAAAGGAAATTTGCAAGGTGGATTCAACTTTAACAACCTCACTAAAGACTTCTTTACCACTAATAAGGGTCGGATCATGTACAAAGGAGTATCACAAAGTGTTACTATAAAATATATCACAAAGTTTTGATCTGATTAACTAATTGAACCGACGAAAAAACGCTTTTCAAAAATAAGGTCGCGATAGAAGTTTTGATTTTTGTGAGGAGCATGAATCGTCCCAACTGGATATGGATTTTATTCCCGCTACCTACACGATAATATTCCTCATAAATGGCACAAGTTACTTATAAAAAGACATGGATTCAACACGGTAGTTTTTTATATACAAAAGCGCACATTCACCGGTATCTTCAAACTTGGGGGAAGATTTTCGCAAAACAAATCCCGATCATCAGCTTCAATTCAAATATTATCGCCTTAGAACAGGCAAAAATCGTTACAGAACACAGATAGAAACCCAGCAGATTAGCAGAAATTACATCTGCTGGTTGCTTACTTGAACAAGCGGACTTTTATTATTTTGCCCACACATGCTGCAACCCTCTGTGTGTTTAAAAAGCTTCCCCTCTTCAAAAGCAGAACAAATTCCGAGCTGTCCGTATTCTTCCTGCTGCCTAGACAATCTATATTGTCTATCCAAGCCGGTTGTTGGCTTTGAGTCTTCCTAAGGTCCAGTGGCGAAGGTTGAAGCTTCCAGTTTACTTAAAAAAACGCTTTTAAACCCTTATCCAGAAAAACTTTTGCTTATTTAATGTTGTTGCCAGTCACACTTTTTGGATAAACTCCTGTAGAACAATTGTGCAACATACCCAGAAAAAACGATCTAGTATCGGCAGCTTTGCCTTCGTTTTGGCGTCCCCTAGGAAAATGATTTCGGCTATACATCGACTTCATGGCAAACTTCCATGTAGTCAGGATGCAGCATGATGTCTTTGATCATGTCCTTCAGCATGGAGTACCGGATGACCATCGGGTAGATCTTGGCATTCGTATATTCAGTCTAAAAACCCGCAAAATACAGCCCTACCTTTAGCAGGTTGTACTTAGACAGTTGCTACCTTTAGTTGGCGAATCAGGTTCCTCAATCCAGAATACTTCTTCAGGAGTCTGTAGAGATCGTTGGTCATTTGCGTGTTTTCCCCATCAATTTGCGATGTCGTCATGTCTGCAGTTGAAACCAAAATGTTCTTGGGCGATTGATCTGGATTGAACTTACTCTCAAGACGTTCAATGCGCTCTTTCTTCTCGACCGCTTCTTCCGCCAGTCGTGTGGATGTTTTCACGCCTTCGCCCGATTTTTGCGTCTTTTCCATGATGGAACAGGCCCGGAGCACAAAAGCGGGCACGGTTTCCTGCTTCTCCTGCTTGGGAATATCGACCAAAGTCCAGTACTGCGTCTCCAACCGGGTAACATCCTAAAAACACACCGGAATCAGGGCATTAGTTAATTGGCACTCAATCATTAATACAAACGCCGAAATTTCGGTTACGGGAACGTGAAAGTCATCCAGCAGGAATTAGCCTGGATACGGTTAAGCAAACTGATGCAAATTTCGGGCGCCGGCAATCATTTTAGTCGTATGAATGTATCAAAGTTTTCAATTAGACGGATCGGGCCCAAGATTTGATTTAAAAGGGACAATTTGAATTTAAATGGGTTTTGTGGATTTACTATGCGAACCCGACAAAAGCGAAGTTTCGGACTTTTAATTAAATGAATTTCAATTTATTGTGCACAGTTTTAATGAACCGCTTAATGAATCGACCAGAAAACTGGCGTGATCTAATGAGGAAACTTCACTTTAATCTAAATGTATCTTCCTTTAGGTTTGAGCTAAGAAATAGTCAAGGGCGTCAATTCTCTATCCAACGATGCCAAAACGAATTCTCTGGCTCGAATGGTTCTTGAGAAACTTCGAAAAAAGCAGCGTTATGTTCAAGTGGATTTT